TATGGGATTATGGCATTTCTTCCTTGAAATGTATGGTTTTAGGTATATTCTATCGTTATTAGACTCCACTTGTGGAGTTATGACATTTCTTCCTTGAAATGTATGGTTTTAGGTATATTCTATCGCTATTAGACTCCACCCGTGGGATTATATGGTTGGTGTAATATGCCTTTTCATATCCTCTTTGTTGATTCAGAAAAGGTTATTTAGGATTGTCGTTGCACCCAAAACCATGATCTAGTTTCTGTTTTGTTAAATTATTATAATCGCTTTTGTTATAATAACATCAGAAATAACAATATTATAAACAGAAACAAGAATGATGAATTACAGATCTCAAAACTGAATACATTAAACGTTGACCAGAATCAAATTCGAATTTGCTTTACTTTGTAATTAATAATTCCATTGAAAAAAACTAAGTCAACGTCTTCTAGGTTTGGGAGCACGTCTTAAAACTGAAACAATTATTGCATGATTTCTAGTCAACTAATGATCTTTGATTTTAATATTACTATAGGTTGATATGAAAATAAATTTCATCGAAATAATTAGCTCATGAGACGTAGAGATTGGTATAATCGAATTCAAAATTTTGCTCCTTGGAGAGGTATCGTACTATAAAAATTAGATAGGTTCGATTAATTGTTATTTTTTTTAATTAATATTTTTTTAAAGTTATTTCCATCTCAGTTTTGCGTCAGCCAATAGAATAATAATACTATATAGTATGCAAATTAAAAATTAAACCCTGGTGATCTGGTCTTTCCAACTACTTTCTGATTTCGTTTTCAAAATTGAACAAACGAAATAATTTTTTAAATTTATTTTGTTTAATAGATATTTTATTTACCTGAAAAAAAATGGGAAGATACAGAGAACTAAATATTAAAAAAAGAACCGACTTGCACAAAAGTCAAACCATATCACCTGAATAGCTGAATTTATGCACTAAAATTAGCTAAACATATTTGTTATAACAGTAAAAAAAATAAAAAAATCAGAAAAATACGATGTACAAAAATGTTTGATAATAAATACTTTAGAAATTTATAGTATTTGCTCTTACGTGGTGTATTTAGCATCTCTTATTCTTATACAAATGATATTTTTTGTTTTTCGAGAATGAAACAAGAAAAATTGAGTATAATTTATTCTTATGCCCTTTAAATATGTCAAAACTGTAAATTCATGTTATTGATTGTTAGTTTTTAATTATGTAAATTATTTTTCAAAATTCTTAAAGATTATATGTAAATAAATAGTAAAGATATTTTTTCTAAATATATTTTGAATTCTTTTAAAGAAAATACTTGATCCGTTGTCAATTAATATTCATTATATTTGCAACTTGCAAGACTAAATCATAACTTGACCATGTCATACTTGACAAAATGATATAATCTAAACTATTTTTCTATTAATTATTGGTGATGACAGTTAATATAACACGGTTTTGCCTATTCATTTTTTAGTTTAATACTTTTAAATTAATAATTAATTAACATTACCCTATGTCCCCTTCATCTATAAATACAAAACACCCAAAACCAATTATAACTCAAAACTCATTTTTCAAATATTTATACAATTCTCAAAATTCATTAATCACTCTAAATAATGGCAACATCCACAACAACATCAACTTCTTTTCTTTCATCAACTCCATTTTCATCGAGACGAAAATCATCTTCATCGTCGCGAAATTCGAGGACGACGGCTTTGGCAATGGGGAGAGAAGCTCAAGATCGAAACTACTACAATTGTCGTAGTGTTGATGAGAACTTAATTATTCTACGTAAGAGAATTCATGAGATGAAAATGATCGAAAGAAATTACGAGCCTCCCTCTGATTGGATGGATTGGGAAAAAAGTATATATGCTAATTACGATGCAAATATTTGTCAAGCATTGGGATTGTTGCAATCTCAATTAATGGATACAAGACCTAGTTTGGTTTTGGGCATGGCTGCACTTATTGGATTAAGTGTACCAATTTCAACTATTGTGATCTTGTTTCATTTGATTGAGTTAACCAAGGGAATTTTAGCTTGATAATATATTATTTTTAAAAGATATTTATGTAAACAGTTGAATTATCGATCCTACTTATATATATGGGATTGATCCTAACTTTTCTTGTTGCATATGTTTTAGTCATTGGCATAGCAATATTTTAAAGATTTTTTTTGGTATGTGCAATATATATTTATACACAGGAATAAATTCAAAGTCCGTATTTATACATATCAGTTCTTTATTGTTGTTGTTTTTTTTTATATAAAAAAAAGGGTCAATGTTCGATATTTATATTGGGATGTGATGAAGTTAGATTCGTTTAGAAAAGTTTTATGTTAAAGAGATAAATTGCAAATAAATTAAAGCTTAAAACCTATGGGAGTAGACATGTAGGGAGCAAGAGAGTCCATTCAATTTTTTTCGATAAAAAATTACATTATATGTATAAAATTTAATATTATTTTATATGTATATACAAAAGATATTAATTTTTTTTTAATTTCGTATATTTACTTCTTTATACTTTGAATTCAATTTCGATATTTCGTGCCCCACCAAATTCTCTTTCCCAAAGGACAAGACAATTTAGTACTTACTACTATTTGCAATCATAAAAATAGACAATTTTCAGAGTTAAATGTTTTTCAAATGTTGCATAAAAATAGACAATTATCTAATAAAGTAGAACTTGCATAAATCAAGACTCCCCAGCCATTGGTTCAGGGTTTGCACTTTTTTTATTTTTATTTTTTCAAAACTTAACTTCTTTTGTTTCTGTCAATTATTGATACATAAGGGTAGATACTAGGAGTAACATACATCTATCTTTCATTACGAATAAAAAAAGGAAAATTGTATATAATAGCAAACTAATAATCTAAAATAAATGGATTAACTAGAGTTTGATTTAATTGTGTTTCATAGCAAACGTTAGCTAAAGTTTGTCAGATGTCTCTCTTCCAAAAATCTCGCTCGACACTCTCCATTCTCGCTCGCCTCTCTCGCTTTATACACAGAAGTGTATAAATTCTGTTTATGTTTTGTATAAAGCGAGAGAAAATTATACATACACATGCAAAAATATATATCTTCGTGTTATACACTTAATTATACAATTTACAAACATTTTACTTCAAATATTGCAGAGAAAAAGGCCAACGGATTACACAATTGCGAATTATACAATTGCAGTGAAATACAATTTTATAAAAATATTGCAGCGAAATAGGTAGTGAATTATACAATTGTGCATTATACAATCGCAGTGAAATAGGATAGCAAATTACACAATTGCAGCGAAATAAGGCCAGTGAACTATACAATTTAGGTCAGCGAATTATACAATTGTATATGTATAGCGAATTATACAGTTTTATATTTGCTATGGAGTGCAATTATACAAACTTTGTTATAGCATACAAATATGAATTTTTTGTTTGCTATGTGTGAAAGTTGCCCAATAAAAAATGTGTAACCATCTTATAGAGCTAACAATTTGGGCTAGCCTACCTATCTGGACTAATTCATATAGACTTCGACATTTTACGGGTCAGGTCGGGGTAGCTCTTTTTTTATGTGGGCTAGAAAACGGTCGGCTCATCCCACAAGTACATAAGCTACAGGCTTGCCGGGCCAGCCCACTTTTATAAAAGTTTTATTTTTTTTAGAATTATTAAATTAAATTATAAATTATAATTAAAAATTATCATAAATATAAAAAAAAAATATTACATGATGTTAATGTTACAACTTTTTAATTGAATCCACGAATAAAATTATCTTTATAATATTTATTAAGTTCTTTTTCAAGTAAAAGTATAAATATCTAAATAGAAATATTAACCTAATTGTTTTGAGTTTGGACTCTCTTTAATTTTAAAATTTAATATTATATTATATATTTTAATTAATTTTTATCGATCCACGGGCCGATTCTATCGATATTTCTCAAGCACCCAAGATCAGCAGACTTATTCAGGCCGGGCTAAAATGCTCTTTTCTCAAATGGGCTCCAAAAATCATAACCCAACCCTATTCAATCCCGGGTTAGGGGGAATGAGAGTCATATAGATCGTATATATATCCATCTCCATATTAAATTGAGGCTTCAGAGATGATAAAATAATGGGGGTGGGGTAAATAAGTAAATAAAATTTAATTAATTAATTTAGAATATTTTCTTAACTACGATTAAAAACTTAGGTTTCAAGAAATAAGATAATAAGATATTCCATTCCATGTGGCACAACATTAGTAACATTAATTAACTACAAGTATAATTAATAGATCATAATTAACTATTTATCTCATACATTGCAAGAACAATTATTCATGTAGAGAATTTATCCACCTTTCTCCAAAAACCCTAAATTAAAAAACGAGTAAATTAATTTTGACTTTTTACTTTGTCAACCGGAGATAGTTTGTATTGAATTAGGATACAAAGTTGAAGAGAACGTCAATAATATCAATTCATTTTCATCAAAAGGCCAAGATTATAATCTTCGATTCATGTAGTTTATTATTTCGCGCCCCTACAACCAAAAAAGAAAGAAAAGAGATTTAGTATATAATTGATTTGTGAAACTAATTAATGAATTAAACACAAAGTAAATAAAATCAAGAAAATGGCTCAGAAATATATGAAAATATCACATAGAGTAAAAAAAAAATTACTACAAGATAAGTTTAATATTTGCTTCTTTCCATTTATAAAGAAAATCAAACGTAAGTTCTATATACTAACAATATATAATATTCTTACATAGTCAAATTAAGTAACCTTTAATATAGTAACACCTAAATGTTTAATCATTAAACACATAATTTATTATAACATGTTAATTAAATTATATAAATAGCTTACATATATCAAACTATTGACACATCATTTTGCTATATGCACGAAAATTTAAGGGGTAGTGGATATATATTTAATAGGGAGCTCCCTTCAGTCCAAGACGTGACAACGCTAGCCAAACATAGCTCACGCATCGTTGAATCTTAAACACACCAATTTCAAAAAATGCTTCTTGATATGTTTGAGAATCAACGAGTCGTCAGCTGTGTTTTTAGCCTTTGAGTGCCTCGGACTGGACCGGAGAGAGCTCCTTATTTTCTCCATATGCCTTAAATAGAAGAAGAAAATTTTAATTAAATTCATAAAAAATAATACTTGAAACTACAAAAAGAAGAAGAAGACAAGAAAACATGCATGGGACATAAAATAACACTAGAAAAATTAAAATTAAAATTTTGTTATATTATATACACTTTTAATTCTTATGAGTGAAGTGTGTATGAGAATGGCAAGTTAAAAAAGAGAGAAATATATAAAGAGGGAAATTGGGAACATGAAAATCTAAGTGTAGATTTAGAGCAGTGTACGAAGCCATACAAATAAATTATAAAATCTCTCAAATTTAACTTTTATATACTAACGTTATATAAAATAAGGAAAATTGTATATAATAGCAAACTAATAATAACCTAAAATAAATGGAATAGCTAGGGTTTGATTTAATTGTGCTCCATAGTAAACGTTAGCTAAAATTTGTCAGGCGTCTGTCTCCCAAAAATCTCGCTCGCCACTCTCCATTCTCGCTCGCCTCTCTCGTTTTATACACAGAAGTGTATAAATTTTGTTTCTGTTTTGTATAAAGCGAGAGAAAATTATATATACACGTGTAAAAATGTGTATCTTCGTGTTATACACTTAATTATACAATTTACAAACATTTACATCAAATATTGCAGAGAAAAAGGCCAACAAATTATACAATTGCGAATTATACAATTGCAGTGAAATACAATTTTCTCTAGCTTTATACAACAGAAGTGTATATATTGTGTTTCTGTTTTTGTATAAAGCGAGAGAAAAACATATATCTTCTTGCTATACACTTATAATTATGCAATATACATACATTTTAATTCGATTCAACTGTATGCAAAGCAAATTTTATAAAATATTACAGCGAAATAGGCAGCGAATTATACAATTGTGCATTATACAATCACAGTGAAATAGGATAGCGAATTATACAATTGCAGCGAAATAGGCCAGCGAATTATACAATTTAGGCCTGCGAATTATACAATTTTATTTGTATAGCTAATTATACAATTTTATGTTTGCTAATGGAGCGTAATTATGCAAATTTTGCTATAACATACAAATATGAATTTTTTGTTTGCTATATGTGAAAGTTGCCCAAAAAAAATATTTATACAATCAAATTATGTATAAAATAATTAGAGGTAATATTTTTGATAAATATTTATAACAAGTATCGGTTAACTAGTTGTACTGACTACTACTGATAGTCTAATTTTTTTCAACATTCTCTGTAAATAATTAATTATTGATAATTCAAAATATGTTTTAAAAAAAAAAAGCATAATCAAAGTTTATCTTTTTTTAGTCACAAAATAATAGTAACATTATGACATAAATTGGTATATTTAACTATGTCTGGTACGACATCACATTTATCAATTGTACATGACATCAAATCAATCAGCTACATGCTAAAAACAAAATTAAGACATTAAGGTAACTAAGTAATTTGGGCACAATAAAACATAATTATAAATATAGTAATATATATGATTGTAATTTTGGGCAGAAAAAATGAGATTATGATGGTTTGAACGTGTAAAAAGAAATGTACGAATGCTTCGAGGTAAAACTGTGAGAGGTTGGATTATGGATGATCTTAGGAGAAAAATAGATAGACTAACGAACCATCGGGTAGATGTGATTGGACAGGGTGTAGCTTCAGCTTATTGATGATATGACATTAGATAAGAGACTATATATGATGGTTATATACAGAGGTTATATATTTAGATAGAAAATTAGCAAGTAGTTGAGTATTGTCTTACTTATTCTTTCATATACTAGTATTCATAACAATAGTCTTATCTTTATCGTTAATTTTTATTACTATATGTTATTTATTGTACTTTCATTGTAATAATATATTTATCGTTATAGTTATTGTTTCTTTCTTTTTTTCTGAATCAAAATATTTGTCATGTTATCTTTAATATTATTTCATGACTTCTTCACTTTCCTAATTTTTTTTCCGAACTACTTTGATATAATTTATATCAGACATCCTATTAAGATGATGCTCTTGATAAAAAAATTTCAATTTTCCAGAGCTAAAATTCAAAATCCTTGATTATAAATGGAGATATCCAATCCATCTAGAAATAACTTTATTTTAGGTATAATATATAAATATAACTCTTAACTTAGTGTCAGTTTGTAACTATGATCCTTAATTTTGGATATGCACAAGCTGACACTTAAACTTGTATGAAATTGAATAAGTAGACACACGTGTCCTACATAGCATGATACATGTAGGACACCACGTAGAACACAAATTTTTCATGTAGGAGAAATGAGTCAGTACGTTTAATTTTATACAACTTTAAGTGTCTACTTGTGCACATCTAAAGTTAAGGGTCATAATTGTCAACTTGCGCCAAGTTAAGAGTCATGTTTATGTATTATGCTTTTATTTTAACATAAACTTCAAGAAATTAAAAAGAAGTACATAAATTTGCTGAAATTTTATTGTCAAATTATAGATATAAGCGGTTGTGATGACTTATTTTTATTTCTTACTCAATATTTCATAGTATATTAAAGACATATGTCTAATTTATATTCACGTTATATAAAATTAATTATAAAAACAAGTTCTCTCTATCAAGATTTTTTCCGCTAATTGTATCTCTTCATGATTTCAATCCTTGGTCTATGCCATGATTAAACTCAAAAATGTATGTAGCATATAAATTTGTGTTATGCTTTTTATACAACACTTTATTTTTTTGATATAAGATTCATCTAAAATGTCATATAATTGAGAAGTCTATCAATCTTTTTCTTGACCAATCATTGTGAGCCCGCCCTCAAATATGACAATATTCATACATGTAAGTAGGTCTTACATACTAATGATATGATTTAAAGTCGTGTGGATCTAGGCAGAAATCGGACAATATCACTAACGGTCTTAGATGATACAAATAGAATCAAAGTCACTCTTGTATCAGTTTTGTTAATGCGGGTCATGCGGTGGGGCTAACCTCAGGTGTATGTGACACCCTAGCTTAAGATCTACATCGGCAAAACATGATTGAGATATTTGATATATAAATAAGCAACCTTACACACTATAGTGACGTGTTTTGAAGCCGTGATCACCTAGACTCAGCCGGACAATATCACTTATAAATTGAACTATTACACAATATATTCAGTATAATTTTACAAGTTAATTATAAAGAGGAAAGTGCGTGATCCATTAACTTATGGATGAATTTCAAAAGAAAAGATCAAAAGAAGATACAAGTATTAATGGGGAAAGAAAACATATGGATCCATCAACTATATAGTAAGGGTCCGTTT